AGAAGTCCGGTCGATTGAACTGTATACAGTTTGGCTGAAACTGGGCCAAGAAAACAGCGGAGAAGTAACGGGGCAGAACCCTCCTTTTTACGCAGCGGTCCAGACATAGACATCAAACGGCGACACATATTCAGTGTGCAGTTCCTTTGGCATTAGGGCAGGGATATCTAGATACTTTCCAAGGTTTGACATCATGAAGTGTGCTACTTTTAAAGCAAGCAGCGATGTTTTCAAATCTGTAATCAAAAAGCTCCTCAAAAACGCTATCGAAGCCGTTCCTGCCGTTGCTACGTAGTTCAAACGGACTATTTTTCTTAGCGGATGCATGTCATTTTAAATAAATAATAGCCTACTATTTTTTAAATCAATAAAAACATTTTCTAAATCTATTAAAAGCATTTCAATTAATATTGGGTGTCATGTCGTTACTTTGTTGAGAATGTGGCTTTGCGTCGGGATCCTGATCGGTGTTCTTTCCCCCATAATGACCGCCTCGCTGCACATCATCCCCATGTTAGTGATAAAACCAAATTAAATAATATTCTTTGGAAAGAGCTGTTCAACATAACTTATTTTACTTTTGATACTTTAAGTACATGTTTAAGATAATAATTATTCACTTTTACTCATGTACCATGATTTTAATTGTAATGCAATATCTTCAGACTGTGGTATTTATACTTTAAAGAGGCCTTATTGTGCTTTTCCCTTTCCAGATGTGTGTTATAGTGTGTGTGCATGTAAATGGTCTGGAAAGGCTACAATCCATGTGTTACCTCCAAAGGGAGTTTCTCTCCCACACATATATTAAAAAAAAGAGCTTTTTGAACATTAAAGCATTGAAACATGTCACAGTAGAGACAATAAATACAAATATGACCCTGAAAATGAGCATAATATATCTTCTTCAACTTAATCAAAGTAGGGAGTACTTCTTCCAACAATGGTTAAATGATATCACACACACACACCACACACACTGACCTCACGGACACACAGCTGAGCGGGCAGAGACACAGACAGAACCAGAGTTTCAAACTCGTACTTTTCTGCCTTCACCTTCTCCGCTATCTGTGAACACAAAACATCAAGATCATCTGACGCAAGACACAATCTGACAATCTGACATGTGTGTGAATATGTAACTGCACACACACCTTCACGGCCTGAGTCGTGCCACAGAGTTCCTGTAGGATGCCCAAACACACCACACACACACTCGGCTCCTCCGTCAGTTTCTCCTCCGCAGCGTCTTCCTCTGACGGAGCTTCAGTCCCGCTGAGCTCCAGTTTCGCTCTTTTGCTCGGCGGGTCATCAGCGGGTTCATCAGCTGGTTCTGGTACTGTTGCATCATGGGATTTGTTGTTTTCCTCTGTGGAATCTGCTGCTACTGAATCTTGGGATTTGCCGTTCTCTGTGTTGCCGATGAACGCTTGAAGTTCTTTGAGTGTTTCCTGGTGATAAATGACACGATGCAGGATGGATCAGCCAGTTACTAGCAAGAGAGGGTGCGCTTAGACTGATTCTTAAAATAGTTTTCTATCTGTGTTTTTAACTTTTGTTTAACTTTTATTTACTTTTATTTACGTGTCAACCTACCTGGTGATAAGCCTGTTTCTGATTCTGATTTATATGAGGGTGCCCCAGGACTTTTCAAAGGCTTATAATTAAGTATAGCAGGTGAGTGTTACCTGGTGGGGCTTCCTGTAGACGGCCTGGACGCTCACGCAGCAGAACCTGAGGACGCAGCGAGCGCAGCAGCCGGCCGACAGAAGCTTCTGGACCACGGGTTTATCTTTCTCCTTCAGAGGCAGCATGACTCCAGTCTGCAGGAGGGGAAGAGACGATGGTTAGGACACACAGGATGATCGGGGCTGGATCACATGACAGTTAGTGACTAAGTATGCATGTCACATACAAACAAAACTTCTGGTTAAACCTTTCGAAGTGTGAGAATTAAGAGCTTATTTCCGTATCCTTATATAGTTTATTTGATATGGACAAATATATAGACACACTTGAAACCTCTATCATATATCTATATACATATCTCTACCTATATATACAGTATACAACATGCCTTCAGCTTCCATTCCCAGATCCAGCTCCAGTGCTTACACTAAAATAACCTTCTATCTGTTGTCATTGTACTTATAAGTTGGAAGAATAGTTTTGCCAGAGCAACACTTGTATTGTTAATCTCAGCTTGTTCATAATAATAACATTTTATTTATAGCAAGGTGCTCATAGAAACATGTTAAAATGTATAAATAATTACAATAACAGCACACACACATTTTAAACTACACAATAGAGGCAGTATAGACACGTTGTGCCTCTCCACCTCTGTTCCTTACTTGCTACCCCTTTCCCTCAACCTATCCTAAGGGAGTGCATGTACGTAGACACGTTAGTTTTGCTGCTATAGGCTTAGACTGTCATGGGGGGGGGGGGAAGAACCTTACTTCTTTCTTCTGTCTGTCTGTACCTGTGTACTCTCATGTTCCGAATAACCCAGCTTCCCCCAAATTTCTTTTTGGTGTCTATCTACGCCGGGATCCTGAGTCGAGGCTAACCCTGTTGCTGTGGTCGTGAGTCCTGGATCCTCTATCCTGAGTCCTGATCTGAGTCCTGGACTTCAAGTCGTGGCTGAACCTGTCTCTGTCTGCGGCCCTGCCTGACTCATCATACTACTTCCCTGATGCTCCCACAGGATTGTGGACATCCTCGTGGATTCATCTTCTTAGTCTAGACACATGCATTTCCTAATATTTTGGACTACCTATGCTGTAAAATGTATTATCTCTTCGATTTGCACACGGCATCTATTGCACGTCTGTCCGTCCTGGGAGAGGGATCCCTCCTCTGTTGCTCTCCCTGAGGTTTCTCCCATGTTCCCTTTAAACTGTGGGTTTTCTCTGGATGTGTTTCCTTGTACGATGTGAGGGTCTAAGGACAGAGGGTCTAAGGACAGAGGGTGTCGTATTGTCATACTGATATTCTGTACAAACTGTGAAGTCCACTGAGACAAATGTAACATTTGTGATATTGGGCTATATGAATAAACATTGATTGATTGATTGGTTGATTGATTGATTGATATTGTGCACTAATCAAAGAGAAAAGGAACCTGTTCCTTTTTAAATCTGCACATATTTTGGTTCAAAACAAACCTTTCATATGAAATAACATCAATGTATAAGACCTTAAATCGTTGCACCAGTATAGTCCTCTATAGATATATGATTGTGGCCAATCAAGCTTTTGTGGGAGGAGATTATAAACATTTGAATGGCTCTGTACATGATGTATATCATCAGCTTCTGCACGAGAGACTGAAAACAGCCGCTGAAGCAAAACCATGCTTGTTTTCAACCCAGACTCTGCTAAGCTAACTAAGCTAACATTGATCCATAAAGAGAGTTATTAGGCACACACAGCACAGACAGCAGCAGCTCAACACAGGAAACACACCTACCGATCACTGATGTGGTGAATTCACGAAGATATAAGGAAACAAAAACAAGACAGAGCTCAGTTACTTCAGGCACTTGCTAACATGTTTCATCCTGAATGCTATCTCTGCTACAACAGACCAAGCTAATCGAGACAAGATCCGTTTTTATTAATTGCATGATACAGTTTCAACTATAGGAATTAATTAGAGGATACAAAACTCAGCATGTAATCACTTATTATCTAAATGTATAATCCAGACAAAAATTTAAATATTTCACACTTAAATAGATTGACTAAAAAAGTGTTATTAAGTACAATTTTGAGGTACTTATACTTTACTTGAGTATTTCAATGTAAAGCAACGTTGTACTTCTACCCCACTTCATTTCAGATTTAAATGGTGTACTTTCCCTCCTCTACATGTATGTAATACCTTTAGTTACTTTACAGATGTGGATGAATGATGTGAAATCTAATCAAGTGTTAAATCAGACTTTAGTTCCACCTGGAGTAAATCCACCAGCTACCCTGCAGTATACAAAGTCATTCAAACTAGCTGCTCCTTTACCAGCTTTGAGAACACTTTCATGATCAATCATTATAAAACATATCATAGATATTATTCTGAAATGGACCAATCTGCACAACGACTACTTTTACTGTCGCTACTTTCACTATATTTTGATGATAATACTTTTCTACTTTTAGTTATATTTTGAATGCAGGATTTTTACTTTTACACTTTTACACTCTGGTACTTCTACTTTTACTTAAGTACAAGATCTGAGTACTTCTTCCACCTCTGGTTAGTATAATAAACATGATCTAGAAAACGAACTAAGCAGCTACGCTTTTTTATTGAAGGACTACAAGAATAGTTTTTTTTCTTGTTTTTTTATTTTAAAAACATTGAAGTATATTGTGATGCTAATACTTTTGTACTTGAGTCACATTTTAATTTAAGGACTTTAACTTATAACAGAGTATTCCTACAGTCTGGTACTTCTACTTTTACTTAAGTACAACATCTGAGTACTTCTCCCACCTAAATATCAATATTCCAATTACTTGTATATAGACTATTCTGCACTATTTCTATTATATTCTATTTTATTTTATTTACTTGCACTATTGTATCTGTTTTATTGTGTCGCACTGTTGGGGGAGCCTGTGACCTAAGATTTTAATTGTCATAACTACACTGTAGCTATGTACACATTACAATAAAAGCCTTGAATCACCTCCTAAAAACATCACTGTGATTCGATTCTCTCGGATCGGCAATCGACGCCTCATGTCTTAAAACGTCATCACGTCGCAGTTTGACAGCCTCTTCCTCTCTACGCAGCAACCGAACGCTCTCGAAGGTTCTGACTGCGACACCGGGTGGAAATTATCTTTCTATCTGAGTCCATCCGCAGCCGAACCGCGGTGTTACAGCTCCGGAACATCAGCGATTCCCTTCTCCATTATTCCCTTAACATTTACCACCGATTATTAGGTAAAAAATGCCTGAAGCGATGGGATCAATGAGAGCCTCAAACATGGGGAGAAACAAAGGAGGGGCGTATGTGGACCGCGACAAGCCGGCCCAGATCCGCTTCAGTAACATCTCTGCTGCTAAAGGTAAGATTTAATAATATCAAATATATGTGAAACTGCTAATATCCTGCACTAAACCTCACATCCTTAAAGTCTAGTATCTCATCTGTGGGCAGGGAACCGTTATTCAGTCTTATTAGCTTCAACCAGGGCCAACATCTCTCTTTTTATCAGCCATATTATATGATTTAAATAAATAACTGCTAATTTAGGAAGTATTTTTTTAATTCAAACTAATCCGCTTCGTTATTCTGCACATGTGACATGCACCGGTCCCTTATTTCTACTTAAATTGTCTCTTAAATTGGGGTGGCTTCCCTCAAATCTGTCTGTAGCTTCTAGTAGCACGAGACAACAATTTTAAGCAAAAACGCACTACAGTTAAGTTAAAATGTATTTAATGTAGTTAAAATGGCTAATATCCTGCATTAAACCTCACATCCAAGTCTAGTATCTTAGCTGTGGGCAGGGCACCGTTATTCAGTCTTATGAGCCGAAATCTAGTTAAGAAAAGTCGTTTTTTAGCAGCCTTACTATGTGGTTTAAAGACATAACTGCTCATTTCAAGAGATGTTTTTTTATTCAAACAAATCCCCCTTGCTATTCTGCACATGTGACATGCACCAGTATCTTGTTTCTACTCACATTGTCCCTTAAGTTTGTGGTGGCTTCCCTCAAAGCTCAGTGTAGCTACTAGCTACTAGTAGCATGCAGCATGAGACAACATTTTTAATGCAAAAACGCACTTAAGATAAATTGCTTATAGCGTAGTTGAAACCGCTAATATCCTGCACTAAACCTCACATCCTTAAAGTCTAGTATCTTAGCTGTGGGCAGGGAACCGTTATTCAGTCTTATTAGCCGAAATTACGTTTTTTTTAGCAACCCTTACTATGTGGTTTAAAGACATAACTGCTAATTTAAGGTGTTTTTTAATTCAATCTCCTTTTGTTATTCTGCACATGTGAAATCCATCAGTTCCTTGTTTCTACTTAAATTGTCCCTTAAGGGGTGGCTTCCCTCAAAGCTCTCAGTGTAGCTACTAGTAGCATGAGACAACATTTTTAATGCAAAAACGCCCTTAAGGTAAGATAAAGTGCTTATACTGTAGTTGAAATGGCTAATGTCCTGCTCAAAACCTCACAGCTAAGCCTAGTATCTTAGCTGTGGGCAGAGGACCGTTATTCAGTCTTATTAGCTTCAACCAGGGCTGAAATCTTATTAAGATAAGTCGTTTTTAACAGCCTTTTATGTGATTTAAGAACACAACATATTAGGCACTAACTTAAGAGGTGTTTTTTAATTCAAACTAATCCCCTTTGTTATTCAGCACATGTGATATGCACCATATTTTTTGTTTTAATGCTAATTTAACTCTATTTTGGGTGGCTTTCAGTGCAGTTTCAAGCAGCTTGAGACAATATTTTTAATTCAAAACGCACCAAGACTCTTGTGTCTCTGCAAGATGCTCATGACTCGACACAATCTCAGTTTTAGCTCGGGCCTAAGTGATGCATACTGAGCCATATATAGACTGGAGTTAGACTGTAGTGAAATATGTTTTTATATTATATCCTGGGGTGTTCAATGAATAAAACAGTAACACAGGAGGATACATAGGCACATACAATCATAAAAGTGTGTCACAGATTTCAAGAGTTATTAGCTGATGAACCCGATGGCCTTTTTGAGGGATGTATTTCCCCCTTTTTTGGGCTTTGGTCTTGCTGTGAATTATTGATGTGCTTTGTTCATTATATTATCCTGAAACCTACAGATGCAATGTTGTCTAAGACCCACATTAATATTAAAAGACATAATTTGTCGGCTTTATCAGTTGTAGCAACTCCAATAAACAAAAATGGATATAGTAGATTTTGATTAATCCTTCAACCAAGTTATTTTCATATATGGCATGCCTACATATTGAAGCCTAAAGATGCAATATTTACTATGTGTACTAAGACCAAACTTAACAATTCAAATATGTTTTTTCGTGTCAGCGTTCTAGTAAAATAATGTGTTTTTGATTCCTCATGCTTATGAACCATGCACGTTATCGGTTTCTCTATACTGACCCATCCCTTGTTTGTGTGGCAGCTGTTGCAGATGCCGTCAGAACCAGCCTGGGGCCCAAGGGCATGGACAAGATGGTCAGTACACATATTTCTGTCTCAATGCTAACTTCACCTAGCTGTTGTGTCGTGATCCTAAAGCAGCTGCTCTCTGTCTCAGATCCAGGATGAGAAGGGTGATGTGACCATTACCAACGATGGAGCCACCATCCTGAAGCAGATGCAGGTCCTCCACCCGGCCGCCAAAATGGTACGTAGCACCACACCCTGTCTGATGGTGTGGATCCTTTTGCATCTGAAACATGGATGCTTTTATTTTTATAAAGCACCATTTATATACCTTTTCAGTCTCATTAGCTTCAACCAGGGCCGAAAAGTCGCTTTTTAACAGCCTTATTATGTTATTTAAAGACATAACTGCTCATTTAAGGGTTTCTTTGTAATTCAAACTAATCCCCTTTGCTGTTCTGCACATGCGACATACACCTGTCCCTTTTTTCTACTTACATTTGTTTCTTAAGTTTGTGTGGCTTCCCTCAAAGCTTTCAGTTTAGCTTCTAGTAGCATGTGAAAACATTTGTTTATGCAAAATGCACATTAAAATATGTATAATGTTGTTAAAATGGCTGATATCCTGCATAAAACCTCCCATCTGAGGTTTGACCTGATTTGAGATACATATTGATGGACTGCTCTTTTAAAAGTTGTATTTAATGTTTGTGTTTTGTAGCTAGTGGAACTATCCAAAGCCCAGGACATCGAGGCTGGAGACGGCACCACCTCTGTGGTTGTGATCGCTGGAGCTCTGCTGGAGGCCTGCTCCAAGCTGCTGCAGAAAGGTAAGAGCTGCAACACATTGAACCTGACACAAAACTAACCCTTATTGTAAATGCTTATCTCTGCAGTTGTGCTTTGCTACGGAGGACTGATGTTTCAGCCGTTTAATTAGAAAATATAAGTGGAATGAATCACAACTTTCTGCAGTATCCACCTGTTTTTCTGCTCAGTTTTATTTCAGGCAAGTTAGTGGGGTAGTGAGAGGGGAAAGCTGTCATGTTGTTTGCATCAAAGACTGTTGATAAGACTGTTTTGTCTCAATCTTTAGAGCTAAAACCAGATCGTATTTGGCATTTTCGGTTAAGATAAGAAGAACTTTATTGATGCCAATTTGGGAAATGTTTTTAGCATAAAATGTCATTGTACAATATAAATTAAAAGACAAGAAATAAACGAGGAAATAGAAAATATACATGAATTTACAAATTATTAACAAGATATAAAGCAAGGTATTATATATACATAATGCACATTAGGGCTGAACGATATACCGTGTCATGGCGATAACCGCGATATGCGCATGCGCGGTATTCACACCGCAGGGACGTGCTGTTTTATTCATAAAAAAAAAAAATGCTAACGCACTTTAGCACAGAATTCAAAATAAAGATACCCTTATTACTTATCG